AAACCTCATTTAATTTTATGTTTTATAGGGTTTATACAGAGTACAATATTGTCTAACTGTATTAAATCAACTATAAACAGCCGATTTTGAAAGAGAAGCATCTTAGCTCTGGAAATTATTATTGAATATGTCAATGATGTTGTAATGAAATTCCTCTTCTAATCATTTTTTTATGAAATAAATTATTTTAAAAAAAGTAATAATAATTAGTAGATGTGAAAAACATCACCATTGAAATCTATGTGATGACTCTATATCCATGCTTAGATGCCAAGGATTTCAGAAATTAACCAACTGTCACTAGTAATGATCAGATATATAGAGATTAGAAACGCATGTACAAACATCTTCATGTCAATTGCATTGAAAATGATTTTTTCTGTATGAAACTGTGTATGTTAATAATGAAATGGAGATCCTTTTTAAAGCTTAAAACCTCATTTAATTTTATGTCTTAAGGGTTTATACTGAGTGAAATATTGTATAACTGTAACAATTCAACTGTAAAGATAAAAATTTGCAGCCAATTTTGGAAAAAGATGCATCTTAGCTCAGAAAATTGTTATTGAATATGTTAATGATGTTGTAATGAAATGCTTCTTCTAAGTATGGGGTTATTAAATAAGTAATAAACTGAAAAAAATAAAAAATAAATCATTTATACATTGGGTAGATGACTCAGTTATTAAAATGTCTGCCCTGAGAGGAAAGGTTCTTAGTTTACTATCCGGAACTCAGATCAAAGTGCCAGGCAGTTTGATTCATGTAATATACCCACCCATAGGGAGATGAAGAGAGGTGAATCCTTGGAGCTTGATGGACCATCAGCCTAGCCAAATTGGTGAGCTCTAGACCAATGGGAGACCTTTTCTCAAAGGAGGTGGAAATAATTTCTGAGGGAAAGATCAGAGCTTTTCTTTGAGTCCCCACAAAGAGTTGCACATACATGTATGTGCACCTGCACACATGGACACACAAGGATACAAAGACATACACATGTAAACACACATATATACATCACACACAAAAATCAGTGTTAAAATTAGCTACATTAAAATAGAATTTGGTGTGAAATAAAACAATTTGAAGGGAGCAACAATTTATTGAAATGGTAAAATCCAATATTAATAATGATTTATAGATTTCTATTCATAAACCACTGAAAATTGATTTGGAACGTTTCTTAACTTAAATGAGCAGAAATTTCATATTACCAAGCCAAAGAATATGAAAATAATAAGTTTACAGAAGTTAGAGTAAAGGACATTAAACTTGAAGCCCCATGGTTTCATGTAACTAATTTAACTCTCATTAAAGAACTCAAAATTACTTAACTACTTATTTCTAATTTAGATGTTGAGCATTCTAATTACATTTAAAATTCTTTGTTATTTTACATGATGAAATTACTTTTTAGTTATTAAAACATAGTAATTTAGAACTTATATTTTGTAAGGAACCATTGTTTTATGGCTAACTTCAATAACTTTCACAGTTTTTAATTATTTGTTCCAGAGCTATTGATGATTTCAGTTTGTTCATTTTAGAGTTATTTAACTAGGAAACATGACTTGTAAATCTGTGAGAGATCTGATAAGTCACTCCGTGCATTCAAGGTTTCTTGATATCAGTTTAATTAAATTACCCTCTGGTACATTTGTCGATTGGAGACAGAAAGTCTACCCTATTTAATTTAAAAATAATTCCTCTGAGTAAATTATGGGTGTAGCCTCTGAAGAAATCATATTACATAAGAATTAGAAAGATCTATTTCTTTTTGAGTAGGAAGATAATCAGTACCTCTTAAAATATGCAGTTTAGAATATTTTTCAACATGTCAAATATTCAATTATAAAATATTTTCTTTAGAAGGAATCAAAGAAACACAGGCATAAGGTTCTACAAAGTATAAGACTCATTAAAATATTAAACTCGAACAAAAACAAAACTAAACTAAATTAAAATATAGATTCTCATTTGCCATAGTATTTTGTTTTATTTTAACTCTCATTAGATTCTTTTTTCATTTGTTAAGGGACCATGGCTCTACTACAAACTTGTTCAATAATTTTACAGTTTTTAAGTATTTGTTGCAGGGCTATTTATGATATCTGTTTGTTCATTTTAGAGCTACTTAATAAGGAAGCATGGCCATGTATATATTATATATATGCTTTTTTTAGCACCCAGTTATTCCCAAAACACTTCAGCTATAGCTGGGACCTCCTACCTACTTCCCTACTTCCATGATGGACTTCTGCTGGATTGTGCTTAAACTGGTCTTGTCAATGCTACCCATATTTCTCTGAGTTCATACGAATAACTGCTAAGCTGTCTGAAAAACTGTTTCCATGTGGTCATTTACCAACTCTGTCTCTGACAATCTATCTGCTCCCTCTTCTGCTGTGATCCCTGAGCTTTCAGAGGCAGAGGTTTGATATAGATATTCTTCTCAGTGATAAATACTTTGGAATCTTATTATTTGCACATTGGCCACTTGTGGATCTTGAATAAATCACTATCTGCTTCATGAGGACATTTCTCCACCAAGAGTTGAGAGAGACTTTCATCTATGGACATAACAATAGATCATTAGGAGTAAGTTTTTTTTTTTTTTTTCTGTGACTATTTAGCAGAATAACACTAGTAGGCTCTCCTAAATGGATAGTGACCTTTCTAGACCCCAGGTTCCTAAGCCTGATTTCAGTATCAAATATAATCTCCATCTTATGAAGCATATCTTAAATTCAATCAGAAAGTCATTGGTTACTACCTTAACATTCATACCACTATTGCACCAGTAAGCATATCTTGCTAGGCTGGTCACTGTAGCTTCCAGGATTGACAACTGAGAATGGTTGGTGACTACTTGTCTCTTCCAGTAACATTTACAGCATCTTATGGCACTCTGAAAGCTATTCAGTAGAGATGATGCTTTTAGGTCAGCACCAGCCATTTGGCTTCTGTTAATAATTCTGGGAAACTTGGATCATGATATTTCAAGATGTAAAATTCTGTACTGTAGGTATTATTATTTTAGTTATTTTATGTAAAATTTAAATAAAGACCTTTTGAGAAAATGTCTTATACACCATATTTAGAGCATGGTAATCATAGAAAATTTAATTGTTAAGTCTTTTCATATGTTTATTTTTCAATGACATGTATGATAGAATCTAATGTCTACTGCTGTTACTTTTGTAATAGTTTCTAAGTATACAACCAGCCTCTCCAAAGAAAACATTGAGAAAGGGATATAATACTCCATTTTTTTATTTTGGTCTTTTTGAGACAGTGTCTCTGTGTAGTCTCTGCTAGCCTGGCACTCACTATGTAGACTAGGCTGGCTATGACCTCACTGAAATCCGCAGAGGTTCACCTGTCTCTGCCTCCAGAATGTTGGGACTAAAGACATGTGCCACCATGCCCAGATTCCATTTTTTTTTCTAGTAACCTCTGTGTTTGTAGAAACAGTCATGCACTGTATCATGTTAAAACCTCAGTGTGTTCAAATCTGAGACATAGGGAAAGTCCATTCAAAACAATTTGCTTGTGAAGGGGAAGAAAGCATATATCTCTTTATGTATATATGTCTTTGTATTATATAAGAAATGTATTCACATACATATCATGTATAAATGTAGGATATATTATATTCACTTTATATATAAATATATTTATTTGGTCTGTGTATATGATTTAAACTGTTCCATTATCTTTTTGGGAAATCAAAAGCAACCACAGGGGGATGGAGAGATGTCTCAGCAGTTAAAAGCACTGACTGCCCTTGCAGAGGATCCAAGTTCAATTTCCAGTACCCACATGACAGCTATGAATCATCCTTACCTCCAGTCCCAGGGGAATCTGAAGCCCTCTTCTGACCTCCACGGCATTGCACGGCAGGGGTGCACTAACATACATGCAGGCAATACACTCATACACATAAAATAAAAATAATAAATAAAATATATAAAAGAGTAACAGCAGAATTATTTCATAAGTTTGTAAACTCACAAATACATATTTTTCAATCATTTTCCTAATGTTTTATGATACATCAGGAATGTGCAAGTCACTACATAAAGACTTTAGAGCATTGCTGCTCAAATTATCGAGTCTGGAAAGAGACATAAAACATACTTATTCAAATAATTAAAAAAATATTTATGTCTAATTAGGTAGCTATTGATTACCCCCAAGAAAAAAGTGCCATTACTGCCCCAATATAGTTTGCTGTGCCAATCACTGTTGCGTTCACTAGGCCTCAAAGCTCGGATTGGACCAACGTTTGGTGGAAATGGGCGGTAGGCCCCAATCTTAGCCTAAGAATTATTGGACAGTTGATTATTACTTGGTGAGGAAGAGCTGCTAGGGACTGACTCTAGATAGACTGACTGGATTCAAGTGGATGAATTTGTACTGAGGGATATCAGGGAACACTAACTTGACTTGATAGGCCTTAATATAAATGACAGAACACATGAAATCCATGGGGTATATGCGTGTCTATGGGAGGATCCAGTGAGGAAGGGAACAAAAAGATGTTTAAGTACTCCACTCATTTCCTAAACGTGATCTGACAGGTTCTGAGAAATTTTGGATTACTGCAATCCTCAACGGCTAGCACCCAGAAAACTGCACTACCTTCTCTTCTGTGGAGCAAAAAATGAAACACCCGTGCTCATATTTCACCTTAAAATTGGGCATATTAAGGAAAAAATATTTTAAATGCTTTTTTTATTTGATATGGCATAAACATTCATCAGATCCCCAAGAACTGGAGTTACATATGGTCGTTAGCTGCCATGTGAGTGCTGAGAGCTGAACCTGTATTCTCTGCAAGAGCAGTCACTGTTCTCATGTTCTGAGCCACATCTCCAGTCCCCAAAGAAAAAGTTTTGATATATGCATAACTGATATGGTTTAATCTTCTTTGACTTTCTATTGATATAACTAAATGTATATATATATATATATATTTTTTTTCCTTTTTTCTGCAGTGCAAACTAGAATATCAGGCATGTGTTTTAGGAAAACAGATCTCTGTCAAATGTGAAGGACGCTGTCCGTGTCACTCAGAGAAATCCACAAGTACAGGCAGAAATGTTAAGAGAGGTAAGTAGTGGAAACTTTTTTATAATTTATGTTCAATCACCTATATCAAAGTATTGGTCAATAAATATTATGTAATGAAGTATGCATGAAGTATACTTTAAACCTATAACTGTATATAAAGGTGATTTCAGTGAATGTAACTGCCCTTCAGCACCAATGTTTTTAGGGAAGATTTGCCATATCTTTTGTAGTTATCAAAATAAGTGGGAACCTATAGAATTGTTTCTTTTGTATTTGTGCACCAAATATAAAATCTCTACAGTAATTCTTTCTAAACTGTGCGATTTCAGTATCACATTTTTGATTCAGAAATTAGTCTGTGTGTATTTGATTAGCTATGAAATTTCCCAAGATACTGCTTTTAAAAATGATGTCTAATCTTTTATTTTTCTGAGGTATGATTTTATATATTAAAGAACAATATTATTAATTCTATATAAAATTACATAAAGGATACATAATTATCATATCATATTCTTTGACTTTTCTTGAGTTACTGATGCTTGCTTGGTGCAGTGTTTATATTTGATGGGGCCATTATGCTTTTGAAAAGATCTAAGGGGCACCATATTCAACATTTGTCATTAACTTCATAACTGTCCGGCTTTTGTAATTTGAGAAATACCATGGGGTGACCTATCGTAGAGAAGTGATTTTTTTTTTCTTATCTTTTCCTGAAACAGGAATACTGAATGAAAAAAGACAGGGAAATATGGTGTTAACGGCAAATTTCCTGGTTATAAACCACACTTTTTTGAATACTGTGTGTTAGATTATTATACTGTGACTAAGTGCCAAGATCATTTCATTTATAGAGAGAAAAGGTACATTTGGGATCATGGCTTCATTTGTTTCAGTCCATGACCTGTGGTCATTTGTCAACATTGTACATTATCATGAGTAAATGAAAGGTCTTCAAATCATAGTATCTAGGAAAGAAAGAGAGACAGGAAGACAGACCCCCAAATCGCCAGTGCCATAGCCTATCTTCCTTCTGCTAGATTTCAAACTCCTAAAGTTTCCACCACCTCCTAGTAGTGTAGTTGACTTAAAAGACAGGGAATTCAGTCCATGACCCTTAAAGGGACATTCTCCAAACTAATGAAGTCACACTTCAGATAAGTATTTTTAAATAAAATAGTCTGAAAATGTGTCGCTTTGCAAAACATCTGATTCTCTTTATTTTTTCCCAAAGTAAATTAATGTATTTTAAATACATTAATTTAATGTATTTAATGGCTACTGAGTGTCCAGTCATGTATACATTGATGTCCATTGCGGGAATGGGTTGTGTTGCCTTCTAGAAATCCTGTACTTTAGCCTCATCTTCAATATCTTGCACTAGAATAGGTTAGGTTCAGAGCTTGAACCCTTCTATATCTTCCTTCCCCACATTCAAATCCATTCTCTTCAACACAATATAAATAAGAGCTTTCAGCACATTGAATATATCAGCTATTCCCCAAATCATTTTGAGCTAATTGTAATTTTCTTTCAACTGAGGCTCTTTCATATCTGGGCCTTCCTCACTGTTCTCCCTTGTGAATACATTTTCACAATTGAATATATGATGCAGTACAATCTACTCTAATAATCGCTTAAGGCATGAAGTAAACCCTGCCATATTAAATGTCCATGCCTTTTCATTTTTTTAGGAAGGTCATTAAGAACTTTTAAATACTCATGATAAGTGTATACCTGTAGAATGTCATAGCCCTTCAACAACATTTCTAACAGTGTTTCAGAGTAACTTCTGAACAAGAAAGTGTGTTTTATATGATGTCATGTTATCACAGTCTCTCACAAGCTGTGGGAGAATTGCCAATGCACATTAAATATGGACAGTGACATATCAATGAAGAAAGCCAATTGTGAATAAACAATAATTGTTTTATGTTACTTAAAATTTCTGTCCGGTATTTATATTAATATGTCAGGAAGAAATCATTTCTTATAGTGAAAACCATCAGGGAATAAAGATAATTTGTGTTCAATTGTGTGGAGAGAGAGAGAAAGGCAGGAAGAATTTAAACTAATCCTGCTCTGACAGATTGTCAGGGCAAAGTAAGTACAGATTTTTCCAGCAACTGTGGAAAAGCAGTAACAGAATATTTTGAATGTCATTTCTTCACAGTGCCAAAGGCCAGGAGACATGGGAAATGTAAAACTGAGTTCAGTATCATTCCTAATCTTCCAACTGTCATTTATTGTAGAAGCATGTCTTAGGTAGGCTGTGCAGTGCAGGGAATTCTATTTAATGTCATCTCTGTTATAGAAGTGAGGAAGAAACTACTTTCAATGAAATAGTTCTTAAATCTTTCTGATCCTCCCTTTGAGGTCAAATTGCTATCATGCTAGGCTTTCTGTTGAATAATTGCAGATGGAACATTTTAAATTTGCATGAATGACATCAAAACTAATAACCAATTTTTTTCTAAACTAGAAAAAACATAATTCTCTGAATGTATTCCCTAAGGGATATACATAAGTTGGTCCAAATATTTATATTCAAAACATTCTAAATAATGAATAAAATTTTGGATTTCTAAATTCTGAGTTTAAATTAAACAGACTGTTCTTCAATCTGTAACTTCTACATCTTTCCATGTATTCTCTGTCATCTTTCTCTTCATTAAAAAATAATCCCAGTACCACCTAAAAGAACTACTGTTCACTCACAGAAAGCTGTGAGACTTGAAAGATGTAGTGACATTATCCCAGGAATACTGACATTACTGCTGATCTTAGAAGATGACATTTTCACATAGCTAGGAAAATATGAGATTTATTTCTGTATAGTTCTGAACATGAACCTTAAATAAACAACAGGAAACAACTGTTTGTATATGCAGATAAAATGCAACTGCAAATCTTCCAAGTCTTAGAGAATCAAAGACCAAGAACATGGCAAAGGACCTTAGGAAGCTATTGTATTATGTGCTTGGTACCTATGAACTGAAGGTGTTACCCCAGACGTGTGTGCTGGAGAGTTTTGGTTATGAACTCCTCGGTTGAGAGAGTCTCAAATGGGGAATTTCCTCCATTTGACTGGCCATGTCTATGAGGCATTCTACTATGGGCAGTGCCACTCCTGACAGGTTGCCCTATATTGTATAAGAAAGAAGACTGAGCACTGTTCAGGAGACCATGACAGAAAGGAGAATTCTGCACTTCCGCTTCTACCTAAAGGTTCCTGCACTGAGTGCCTACCTTGGGCTCCCTCAGTGATGAACTGTGACCCCAGAGATGTAAGCCAAATAAACCCTTTCCTCCAAAAGTCGGTATTTGACCAAAGTGTTTTGTCAAAGCAATCAAAAGCAAAAGAGAAGAGAAATTGATACCCAAGAGTAGGGTATTGCTATGATAGATCTGACATAGTTGTTTTGAGAAGGATTGTGGAAGCATTTAGAACTTCGGGCTGGAAAAGGCATTGAGTCTTTAAAACTTAAGGAGCTTTTCTGTAGAATTTAAAACAGTTCTGCTGAAAGAGGTACAGATGATGAAGGCCTGGCTTGTGAAACACCAAAGGGAAGTAAATATTTTCAAGGCTGTTTGTGTGATACTTTGAATTGAGAATCTCTGGTTTCTGGTCAGCTGAGACCGGAGAAGGGGGTGTGGTTAAAACGAGACCAGAACCAATGAACTGAAACCTTTGCTTTACTGGGAGAATTGATGCTGGTTAGCTGGAGCTGAAAAATCAGCTGTGAGTAACAGGAGACCAGCATCATTGTGGCAAAGTCTTATGGGAAGTATTTTCTCAGGGTCAGCACACACAATCTGTGGTCCAGAGGGTGCATAAGCCTCCATCTCAAGCTGAAAGCAGGACACGGTAATGTATGAGTTTCCTGCATGGTTCTGGTGTTAAAAGCATGAAGGGGTCACAGAAAGCAGTTGAGGTGTGGCACCCTGAGAGGCCAGGAAAGGCAATTGGTGAAAGTGCAGCCTCATTTGCAGTGAAGACTCATAGGATTGAAGGGGTCATAGAGAGATTACGAGGCTTTGCATTCTGAGAGGTCAGAAGAGCCTATGGGTGAAGGTGCAGACTCAGTTTCAGTGGAGACCTCAGCTTTTTTGAGATGCCAGGACCATGGGACGACCACCAAGGGCAGTAGAAGGTGTGGAATAGAGCAGGCCTGGGCCTGTGAGAGGGGCTGTGTGTGTTGTGGACAGCAGAGTTAGAGAAGCGGAGCTGCTGAAACCCTTTGGAGCCCAGAAGAGTTTGAGTGAATTCCAGATGTCCACCCTTGGGTTACATTGCTGAACTTTGGTTTAGCTTAAATATGTGCAATTCTTCCCTTTTGAAACAAAACAGTACTTGTTTATTTATTTTTCAGGAGCTCACAGTTGATAGACTTTTTAAAAAATATATTATTTATTATTTTTATTTTATGTGTATGAGTGTATTGCCTACATGTATGTGAGTGCACCCATGTCGTACAATGCCATGGAGGTCAGAAGAGGGCTTCGGGTTCCCCTGGAACCGGAATTAAAAAGACTTTGATGTTTTAAAATGTTTGGATTTTTAAGCACTGTAGGACTTTTAAAGTTATATTATGTTGTAATATTAATGTTAACATTGTACCTTGGGGGTAAGAAATTGAAAGCTTGTGGTTTTATAGTGATATGTTAGTGTGTCAAGTTGACAAGGGGTAAGTTGTGCTGGACAGTTTAGTTGTCAACTTGACATGCCTGAGTTAAGGGAGCTTCAGTTAGGGAATTTACTCCATGGCACTTAACTGTTGTCATGTCCATGAGGCATTTTCTTAATTTCTGAGAGATGTGGGAGGGCTCAGCCTTCTGTGGGCAGTGCCAACCCTGGTCAGGTTGCCCTGCATTGTATAAGAAATCAGACTGAGCATGGGTCAGGGCACAAGTCTGGAAGCCGCTTCCTCCATGGCTTCTGCTTCAGCACCTGCTAAGTTTCTGCCCTGAATTCTTACCTTATGCCTCTTCAATAATTAACTGTGATCAGTGAGATGATCACAGTTAATAAATACTTT